GGAGGAGGAGGAGGGTAAAGTAAAGACCTGCGTCTCTGATGACAGGGCTGGATGGAAGCGACATGATATGAGAGAAAGCTGCTGAGATCACAGCCTGGGGAAAGATCAAGGGAGAAAGATCAGAGAGACAGGAGACCTCGACTGTGCTGGCGAGGAACGAGACGTTCTGGACGTGAATAGCAGCAAGCGCGTCCGAGTACGCTTTCTGCTTCATGGCTGCGAAGAGGAAGCCCTGCTCGTGAGTGAGTCAGATGTTGACAGGTCTGTGAGCTCGTCTGCCCCGCCTGAAATATGTTATATCGCACGCGCCGACAGGAGTTGATGGTCCGGTCCAGCAGGATGGGCAGGAGCTGAGAAGGCGCTTACGGGAGAGGAGGAGCAATGGGAAGGATTCGACAGACTTTGCTCTTGACTGAACCTATCGTCTTCTCCCTCATCTTCAACCTGCACTCAACATCAATACCCCACAGCACTCAGTCTCTCAAGTCTTACCCAGGCCTTCCTTCAAACGCGACCGTCGTGGCGTCTCGAAGATGTTGGTCCCTGTACCGGCTGTAGTCTAGCCTCACCTACAGCACATCATTCGTCAGGAAGCAGACTCCTCCTCCTCCTCTTTCCCCCTCCCCTTCCCCCTCTCCCTTCTCCCCCTCCTCCCCCTCCTCTTCCTCTCAGTACGTTCATGCTCCTGGTGTCCAGCACGAGCCCACACCAATGAAGTTCTGCTCCCTCCAGCCTCTTTATCGCTACTTCTTTCTCTCCTCGCACCGACACTCGCACGTCATAATTCACTTTGGACTTGTCAAGGTTCAACTCCACTCCATAGTCTGCCCGTCAGAGTCACTTGATACGTCCGGGCGAGCAAGTCTGCCGACCTGCATGCCCACACGCCATGGCGCGCAAGAACGCGCGAGCATGCTGCACGACGTCAGTCCCCGGAGGTCGAGCAAGACAACACCCGAACCTGAACCTCGGACGAGATGTAGAGAAAGTCATCAACAACTCTCATCATGAGTGCTACGTCTGCCTTTCCGCCCTTCCCGCCCTGGCTGCTGTCATGCAGCTTCTTCGAGCTCAACTCGTTCCTCTTCAGATCCCCTTGCAAGAACCTGCGATGCATCGACGGGATCCTGACCAACCGGTTGTTCTCCAGATGTCCATAGATGCAGCAGCAGAGCAACGAAGACAAGACAGACCCCTGACACAAGTCACAGCAAGACAAATCCTCCCTACCTTCTCCTTGCTCCTTCCTCTCACCTGCGGGATCCCCTGGGTCTGCATGAGGTATGAGGGCCCAAGCTTCACTATGTTCTCCTTCACGTGATCTATCGCAATCCTTCAGCCATGTCGGCCACCAATCATAGTCACAAACCTCGCAACGCTGAGAGAACTTCGTCCCGGGAGCAGTAGTGGTACTCGACCAGGTCTGTGAAGATACAGTTCCTGAACGCCAGCGGTGACCGTGGAGTGCGACTGGTTGTCATGGAACCTTTTGAATTCGGAGAATTCACGAGCATCGGAGACGAACTAGGAAGCGCCTCAGCAGCTGGCGACGTGGGAGGCCAGACTTGAAGAGTTCACCTGCGAGTATCGGGTGGATGGAACTGCCTGTGTTGAGAACTTGGGGCGGTTGCCTTGTGCATGTCAGAGGAGGGAGACGACAGAGTTTCCAAGGATACCACACGGAGTTTGAATGTACCGTCGCAACATGTACTCATCTTGCATGTTGTTAGGACAAGAAATCCAAAAAGCAGAACTTTCGATGATACCTTCCGAGAAGAGAGAGCAGGCGACTTCCAGAAGCTTGTCATGCTTGATGGAATCGAACGACTGCAAAGTAAAGTCAACACGAGTAATCTTCAACGTTGCACTTTGCACTTGCCTTGACGACATCCAGAGAGGAGAAAAACATCGAGGGTTTCCCGTTCTCTTTCCACAACTTGACAGCCAGCACTTGTCACCGCAAGGAACTAGAGCACTGAACATACCCGGACCAGCGTCAGGTATCGTGTGAATATGTCGTTCTGGCCCAGCACAGACGATCTGACAGACATGTTCGTCACTTTCTCTCACTCTCATTCCACGTCATACCCCAAGATCTGCGGATTCAGCTGCTTCTCAGCTGAGAGCACCGAGAAGGGGCGAGACAAGGCAGAGTTGCTGCTCGGCTTTTGAATCTTCTTCCCAGAATTTGAAGTCACCTGGGACGTTTGCTCAATCGTCCTGAAAAGCAAGACAACCTCCTACCGTCAACGGATATCGTCGCCCCATGTTCACTATCGGTCGAACTCCCTTGCGCCCTCCCCGCGGCAGCAGCCGCAACCTGGCGGGCCCGACGCTCCGTTTGGCCAGAATTTTCTTGAGTTGAGCATGTCAGCTGCACACGAAGACGGACAGAGGAGGACCTTTGCTTCTGTACGTGTGATCAGTCGATAGATGTGTCTGGTCAGACTAGGAAAGTATTCCTGCGGATAACATGTCACACACCAAGACAACTGATGATTGTTGGTGAAGATGTCAGGGACCTTCTTGATAGCAAACCAGTCGGGTTTGCGGAAGAAAGCTAACCGGTTGCGAGTAGCTTCAGTCTCGGTGACGTAAAAGTTTGACCGTATCAAGGGTATAACAATCTCTGAGAAGAGAAAACCAACGACTTTTGCTGCCCTTGTCGTCTATCTCGCAACATCACACAACCGATGATATCGCATTCTGCCGTCAAATCAAACCTTGACAATCAGTTCTTGTGAAGAAACATGACGATCCTTGGCGTTGCTCTGTCCGATCATACATCAGCAGCCAGTCGTTTCCACAGTTGGAGTACCGAGGCTGACTTGTCTTGTGAGCTCCGCCCGTCGAACAGCCATGCGCACTTAGTGATCTCCCATCTTAAGTCAGCGACTTGCTCGCCCGGCCGTCTCTCACCTTGAAGTTGTACATGGCATGTCGGACAAGAAACCTCTCGTACCTCCGTAGCTTCAAGAACAGCTTCACGCTGCTCACCTCAAGTCAGACGCTCTCACTGCCACCCTCGTCGACACCTGCGGAAGAAAGCTCTCTCGTTCTCCTCGCAGCCCCACAGCTCCCGGGGGATCTGTCAGCGAATCAACCAACGTGGCTGGATCACATCAAAATCACCAGACGGCGGAGAACCGATCTGAGGAAGGCAGCGACAGAACTGACGCTGACTGATGGAGCAGAGGTCAGCCAGCCGCAGCCTACAAGTCTTCATTCACCTCGCAGCTCAAGACTTGATCGATCGAACGCTTGGTCTCTTGTACCCGTATCTCCACTTCTTCCCTTCAAGTCGCCCCCCGCAAGAGGCTCGATCACCTGCCCCCTCCTCCTCTTCCGGCAAGAGAACAGCTGCGGTGCCTCAGACGGCCTCCGCACAGCTGGAGGGTGACTGGGCCCAGACGCCTTGTGTGCTGACTTGTCCTCTGCCCCTGTCTTGTGAACGGGGCTCTGCTTTGAATGCGCTAGAGGGCAATGCCGCTGCAGCAGCAGCCCGTACGGGAGCTTGCTATGCTTACACAACAACTTCTTGAGGATCCGGCAGAGGGGCTGGAGCTGAGGCTTCACTCTCGAGTGCCTGAGGGCAACAGCATCAGTACTCAGCTGGCAAAGTTGCAGGCAGGGGCCAGCACTTCTTGAGCAGGGGCTGCGCCTTATCAGGTGGGGCGATGCAGCTCAGTCGATACTTGGGGGAGTACAGCACAGTGTTCATCAGCCAAGCAGCTGCTCGCCCTCCTTTGCCGATAGAATTGAAGACGTGCTGACCGGGAAATCCTGTTGGAGGGCACGGACCACCGTCAAAATCCTCCCTGCCTCACAGGCAAACGAGAACCTGCCCTCTTGGGGAAGGAAGCGCTGTACAAGATCAAGGTCTTGGGGACTTCCAGGGACAGCACAGACTTCAGCTCTCTCGACTGAGACGCGATCGTCTTAGCGCCGCTCGTCTTGATGCCGTCGGATGATTCTTCCGCCATCTCCTGCGGCATCATCGAGTCAACGGAGTGTAAGGCGCTGCGAAATATGCAACCTGGGGCCTTTTCCCTTCCAGTGCCAGAGCTAACAAGTTTGAACAGGTCAGAAAGATCACGTTCCTATCAAGATGAAGAGAGAATTCATACTTGAAAGGCGGAGTTTGAAACGCCTCCTGTTTCTTGACCTTGTTGCAAGAAGGTGAGGATGGGAGGTTTGTTTCAACACGAGTTACAGCTTTAAAGATTTCCTTGGAGTTTTCTTCGACTTCGATGCAGTTACGTTGTGAGGGGCATCCAATGCTGAAACATACACTGTCATGTACATTCTCATAAATGAAAAGATACGCCCACATTTCTGAACATTCTTGTTCGTGTTCAGCACGCTGGCTATCACCGGACCTGCACAACCATCAGCTGTTGCCATCGTGCAGCGCAGCATTCACCTGTCACTTGAAGAAAGCAAGAATTCTTCAGGAGGATCAGCGTGATCTACATCCCATCCCATGTCAGCAGCCTGAACCCTCATCGCCGCTGGCTGGAACACCACACCGTATCCATTAGCAGGTGCAGTAGAAGCGCGTCTCCAATGCAACGATGCAGCTCTGCCCAGATCCTTTTGAGAGGGGTCAGAGGTTAACTAAGTCATGGTCATCTGGCTAACGTCGTCTTGAAGATGTTCACTATCGTGTTGGGGTACGTGCTCTCAATGCCATGCATCGATCTTGTGCCTGCCCCCGTCCTGGGGTTCAGGAGCCTGTATCCCAGCGCCAAGACATTCTGATTCTTGAAGTCCTTCGTCGACTGGAGGACGATGGAGGTCACAGCCATGAAAGCATCAGGCAAGGAAGATAAATGCCCTCTCAGCGGGAGGAAGGGCAAGGAGATGAAACTACCTGCCGTACAAGAGTCGCAACTGCCCTGTCCACCACCTCGTGGGTGAGGAAAGAAGGGCTCTCGGGCAGTGGTCTCTGCCTTCCTGCTGTTCTGCCTGCATCGCTCTCTTCCTGGTGACTGAAGTAGCAAACCAACCTACATGCTCCCTCGTAAGAACACTGGCTTCATTCGCTCGCTCCCTAGAGTTACTCACGTGGTCCTGAGGAGATCGTCGAGCTCCTTGCTGCGCGAGGACAGCCTGCTCCGAAGTGTCTTGTGGGCAGAGGAAGGGACAGTGTAGTAGAGGAACTCGAGGAGGCTGCTGACTCGCCTCCTCGTCCTCTCCCTCAGCTCCCCGCGCATGGCGCTCGACGCCCCCAGCGCGCGGGGCATGTCGAGTCTCCGACAACTTTGCGGCTGTAGGGAAAAAGTGCTTAAATTAAGAGAAAAAGCTCTTAAATCAGGTAACTATACGGCTAAAATAGAGGAATCATACTAATTAAGTGACTATTTGGGTAAATTAAGGTATTTAAGGGTTAATCTGTATTGATTTAAGTGACTTGGCAGCTAAAGTTGGGTGGAGGTGTGGGGTAGGGGTCATATGGCCCTGCACAATTGTAAGAAAAGGTCATGGGTGGGTGGTATTGGAAAATTTACTACCGGTACTTATTCTAAAAATTGTACTTTGAATCAGGTAGGGTGGTATGGATAGTTATCCTTTAGGGGTCCTACTCAACCTACTCATTGCAGGGGTGGGGTCATACAGGCCGACCGCAAATGGGATAGAAGGGGGGAGGGAGGGAGGGAGGGAGGGAGCAGAGGGAGTTTGGAGTAGGCGCATGTAGAAGGAGCATGTGAGAAACATGAAGACTAGACATGTAGAAGACATGTAGAAGATACATGTAGAGGGGATTATGGGATTTTGTTTTAGGATATCCGATAAATGGAGAGCCAGGAGTATAGAAATGGAAGAGCAGGAATGCAGGGGAACCACGGAGCAGGATTTTATTCTCAGTGTCTCGTCGTTTGATAATACTGTTTTCTCATGTTTCCTTCTCGCAGAGAAAGCTACGCACAAAGCAGCTTGATAGCAGGGAAACGACCTCATGTCGTTGTTCTGAGAACTGAGTCAAACATTCTCTGAGCATGTCCTGCCTTACCGCTCTGTCCGGAGCAACTGGTCCAACAGGGGGACAGAAGAATGGAGGGCCAGTTGACTCCAAATGTGACGTGAAGGTGGGGAAAGACGGGGAACTCCAGATTGTTCGGATCGACCAGAAGGACGACGGCGTTTTCAAGAAGCCTGTTCCTCCGGGACCAAGGACAGCGCTGAGGCAGAAGGCGCTGGATGAAGACGTGTACACTTCCTCCCTGAAGGCCATCATCGAGCGCGACTACTTCCCTGAGCTCCCTTACCTCCGAGCTAAGCAGGAGCTGGACGATGCTATGCAAAGCAGAGATCCTGTGCGGATCAAGGAGGCGTACGCGAACCTGCGCAAGTGTGCGATGACTCCCTCCGGGAGGTACCTCTCGACCCCAAAGCGCGGGCTGGGCGCTAGCGCGTCGTCGACGCCTCTAGGAGGAACAGGGAGAGTGTCTGCTCCTGGGACGCCCGGCAATCGAGGACGATCGAGCACCCCGATGGGGTTCGATGGTGACGACCACAGCGTGTGCTTGACGAATGAAGACGATCTGGAGAGGGAGGAAGAGATCAATCGAGTGATCAAAGGGAGATCACTAGATGACTTCGTCAAGAAGTACACCAGCGAAGACAACAAGTCGGCGTCCGAACTTATGTTGAAGGACGCGGTGGCGATGGAGGACAGGCGAATGTGGATCCACGAGCAAGCGGCAGAGTACAACATGCGCCAGAAGCTTCTGATCGAGAGGGGCCCCCGCCAGGAGGACGGGACCTTGAACATGATCTTGGGAGCTCCCTACGACGAGAAGGACTCTTTGACATCCTACGTTCCCAGCACTCACTACATCCCCAAGACGGTATCGAGGTTCCTGCACGCTCTCCCTCCACTGACTGCTGGTGCAACAGAAGCTACCCATGGGCAAGAACAACATCTCATCGTCCGCCACTCGGATGGCGAGGGCAGGACCCCAGCAGGACAAGGTCCAGCTCTTGATAACAGCTGCCTGCCGTCAGCTGACTGTGGATGTTTCAGACCTCCTTACAGCCCACGTTCCGAGCATACGCGACACCTGGGGCTGAAAGGTGACACAGCACGACGTTGCGATTGATTTGTGGTTGCTGAATAAGAGCTGTCAGTGTGGCCGCGTCGCCGAGGGTAGGAGGCTACAGTTTCCTGCTCACTCCCTCTCCGGCTCCAGGGGAGCAGGACGACATTCCTTCCTTCACGTGGGGAAAGTGAGTCGAACTGAGTGCTCTGGTTGTTGCTAACTTAGGACAAACAGCATTGAAGGTACCCCGCTGATCCTCCCAGAGGACGATATGCCCGAGTATCAGCCGTTCAGGGTCCAAGAGAGATCCAAGAAAGAAGAGGTTCAATTACAAACCAAAACACCACCTGGTTTCCCATTGAACCGCCCGACACATCCAGGTTGCGGACTCGATCTTTAACAAGTACCTTGCCAAGAAAGCTCTCCGTGCCAAAGGTGGAATCGATGCCAAGGCCAGAACACCCTCTCGTGCTGCTGGTGCGCAGACTCCTCAGCTCTCTGAAGCAGGTTGGTAGCGATTTCAACCCCATGCCTCTCCAGCCTGTCCTCGTCTCCAGTTCCTCCCCAGTTGATCTCTCTTCTTTCACAGCAAGGAGACTAGCGTCAAAGTCCAGCGGATCTCGGATGGGCCTGCCGTTGGACATGTACGTCGACATGCTCCTTATAACACTCGCTGAGTGCGAGCAACAGGCAACTGCGATCGACGTACCGCGGAACGCCCACCTCTTCCCGTTTGCAGACTCCAAGGAACTCACACGGTAGATGTATCTGTCCTAGGAACTGCTCGTCTGACAGCTTTCTCCCGCAGCCTCTGCTAGTGGCTCTTCCACGCCAAGGTCTCTCCTGGCTCCGAGCCCTGCAAGGTCTGCAGCTCCCATTGGTCTATAGTAGCATCATGACTGACTGACGGAAGCAGATCGACTTCCCAGCTTGTCAAGGACACCGTCAACAAAGTCTGCAGCAAGGTTGAGAAGGGAACGAACCTAACAGACGGCTTACTGCAAATATAATGAGGGGAAGCTTCATCCCAGAAGGTGAAGAGAAGGGTTTCGCTTGCTTCAACTTGTACCATTACAATGAAATACTTTGTTCTTCGAAGGAGTGAGAATGGTGATCATGACAGCTGCATTCGTGAAAGCGACAGCGTTAATCTTTTACTGAGATACATTACATATGAACAAGGGTATGGAATCATTACAAGGACGACGAGCATTTGCCCATGTGGCTGTTCGGATGCCATCCTGTCAGATCGCTCGGGCACCTAGAGCAAGGCTGCGGGCCTGGATAGGACTTGTAACTTCCTGCAGGACATGCTAAACAGTGTGCATCTTGGACCATTAACGGACTTTCCACCAGCACATCGCAGACATGATGCGTGTAAAGCTCAAAGTTGGCTAGTCCCCATGATTGTTCCACAGCAGGTAGAGTGAGCGATGTGCCGATCGAGACACTAGCGTTGGAGCTTGTATGGTTCACGACGAGCTCAAGTCTGTGCAAGTTCTGATCATACCGGGAGAACTGATCTCCACAGAAGGGCAGCGGCTCGCTCATAATCAATGGTTGGGAAAGGACCACTCTGCCATCGACGGAGATGATGACTCTGTCCTGGTTCCAGAAGTCAATCTGCAGGAAATCAACGACGAGGCGAAGTTGTGTATGTTTCGCTAGCCCCGTGAAAGTTTTTCGAAGCACGACGTCTCTTCCAAACTGTCCAAACCCCCCCAGCACGTAGAGGCCCTCCTTGCAGTACGACCTTGAGATGGGACAGTTGGGGAAGCAGCTCCATCCATCTACGTGCACGTTGGCATTGTCTTCAAAGTATCGTATACCATCATACAAAGAGATCTTGGTCATCAAGACACCCCAAAATGACAAGTTCGATGAGTAAGGTGCCGACTGAATTCTCAATTCGAGCATGTCCCTTGAGTGAGACGCGTTGTAATTGACATGGAACATCACAGATGCTGTAGAGTTGTAGATTACCCTTGACTTGTAGTTCAGAACATCATCCCCGTCGCTGATGATTTGCAAAGAGCTGATATCAAACCCATCTCCGCTCACTAACCACAAATCCACCTGTGCGTAAGAATGCTTCGCAAGGTTGCTGAAATTCTTCATCAGGCTGGAAGAAGCGTTTGAGCAACGAGCAACGATCACAAGACCGTATGATGTGTTGAGACTTGCAGGAACTCCCCCATGGGCAGAGCATTGCCTCCATTCCACCTCAGCTTCAGGACTAGCGGGCTCGAGGATGAGGCTGTCACCGGGGCCGGAAAATTGAGAGCAGTTTTCGGAGAAGTCGATGCTGAAACCTGGTTGGCAGAGGCATCCAGTCTCAGGTGGCAAGAGGACTTGCGCAAGGCTGGAGTTACAAACACACTTGTGCGAGCCCAAGCCATCGGACACGACTTGAGCGTGGCTGGGGCAGTGAGTGCAAGAGCTGGATCCAGACTGTGAGAAGGAGTTTGAAGGACAATCCAAGCATGCAGATACAGATGGATACACCGAGTACTTGCCTGCTGGGCAAGCTATGCAGCTCACATTGTCGTTCGAAAACTTTCCGCTTGAACATGCCAGGACGCACACTCCTGCATCTGCTCCTGAGCAATTCTGAGACAAGTAGCCAACGCCGCATGATGTGCATGGCATGCACGTTCCTGCTGATGTTCCCTGGCAACCATCCCTGTACTGACCTTGAGGACACTCTGCGCAGGGAACCTCAATGCTCCCGCCCCCATCGCATTCATAACACGCTATTTTCAGATACGGATCGTTGCAACCGTATACCTGCGTGAACGCGTGGCACCAATCCTCTTGGGAAGTCAGCTCAGTGAAAGTCGCCGATCCCGTGCATGAGAACATGTCGAGTATCAGTAGCACCCCCAGCATCGCCCTGCCCATCTTCGCTCGGATGCCTCCTGACTTCGTCATGGCGGCAGCGGCCTTTGACGTCAAAACGCCTCAGAAAAATCAAGTCCGCCTCAACACAGAGGTAAGTGGGTGGGGTACTGTTAGAGGGTGGGTCCAAGAAGGAATGATAAGGGGTAAAATTATTTGTCAGTACCGGTATAGATGAAAGGTGGGGTAGAGCTAGGGGAAAAGAGGGGTGATGCTTTTGCTTCTGCTATTTTCGGAAGTGGAAAGGAAAGTGCAATGCAGAGGTAAGTGCGAACGTGAAGGAGAGGGGAGTAAGTGGGTAGTGGAGCAAGGAGAGGAGGCAGGTGAAGTCAAGATGTTGAATGAAACAAACCTGTGCGTGGTGGTCAGAGGAATCCTGTCTGAGTGAGCCTGTAGAATTTGAACGGCAGTTGCCCTACTTGCCTTGCTCGTATGATCCTGTTTTGAAATGGTGCTAACTTTCCTGGCTTTTGTTTGATTCGCAGCTCTCCGAGATATCTGCTGGTTGCATCAGCACTTGCACTATGTGCCGTGGTTGCACTGTTCGCGCTGGCCTCTGACCAGTATCAAACGTTGATGAACAACGACAAGGGCGAGCTTGAACAAGTCAACCGCAAGGCAGTCGCAGAGTTGCAGCAGATGTTGAAGAAGCAGTCCTCCATGGACGTGAAGGAAGCTCAGCTCTTCCAGGAGATCAGGACTAGCCAGAAGAAGTCTGCTGTGCATGCCGCTGCTCAGAAGAAAGCTGCTACCCTCTCAGCACCCAGCGGGGCTGTTTCCCTTGGGATGGTCTCGTCTTTCGAAACCAGGAATCCTGAGATGACAGAGCTCCACATGTCTAAAGTTGAGAGGCTGAAGAAGGAGCTTGCTCAGGCAGAAAAGGAGGCGGCTGCGAAGAAGCAACCGAAGGTCTGCTTTCGCATCGATGTAGTGTTGCCTCACCATCCGCAGGTTGCCAAGAAAGTGAATTCCGCAAAGCCAAAATCACCGCTCCAGAAGCTTAAAGATCAGGAGGGGAAGCTGGTGATTTGAACTATGCTGGCAATGCCTAACTTGTCGGAACCTGACCAACTTGTTCATTGAAGGTCACTGCTGCTGAGTTCAAGCAGTTGAATCCTCAGCAGGCCAAGAGTGAAGACACCAAGATTGCCAAAGAAGCAGGTTGGCGCATTGCAGAGATCTTTAGATCGATTCTGACAACCCCTGGGATCAGGAATGAAGAGCATGGGATGGATGGGAAGCAAGTCCTATATCGACAACAAGGTATTGGTAACACAAGTGTACGATACGTTGACATCAAGTTCAGCTCAAGTCCCTCAATTGTGATCCTTCCAACTTCGTGTGCACGGGAACACCAGAACAAAAGAAAGAGGTGGACATTCGTAGTACTTTAGCGTGGCTGTTATCTTATTTTGTTCCAGGCTTTGAAGATGATCAAGCAAATTATGAAGGGGATTCAAGGAGATTCCAAGCAGGTTTCGTTTACATTTTGAACTTGGATCATTTGTGAGTGACCAATCATGCATCAGGTAAACGCATACGGCTGGAAGGAAGAGCACGCATTGCCGCCTGCCCCTAAGATGTAAAGATATGTTACTTATTTCCTCCCTATTCCCTCGATTTCTCAAACATAAATTGCTCTACGACACTTTAGTAGTGTGGTTTCCGGAGTTCTGATGCCTCGTGATGATAACACTAGCACATCTCTGAGTGTTCAACTACAGACCGGTCGTGCGGCGGCCAGTCACCGGGCCCGTAGTATGAGTCGAACACCCCGGCCCGCCAGCTCCGAGGCCCCTCCGCGACCGAGTCGGAGTACGGTCGGCAGCGCGGCCCGGCCCATCGGCGCCCGGCGCGCCGGGGCTTGCCCCGGTAGTCTCACCAGTTGCCGCGCCAGTACATGATTGTCCTCGTACTGATTTTTAACTTAACTTTGAGTAAAGAGATTGAGTCAGGGTTGGGGTCCATGGAGGGAGCTCCCAAGCTCCAGGTAAAAAACATCGGAAATAGAGCAGACCACCCCCTCTGAATTCGTACCCCTTCTTTGACCAAGTATGAGTTGGAAGAATTGGGGTACTTGAGGTAGGAGGGGGTATATAATCGTTGCCGCGCGGAGCGGGAGACACGCAACGGGTGAGCCATGCTTACTTAGCAATGCTGTGTGATGAAAAGATGTGAAGATATGGACTTGAGAGCAATGCTTCCTCTGTGATTCCTAAAGCTTGAAATCTCTTTCTTGTTCAAGTACTCACTGTAAAGTTGAGGCACTGAACATACTGTTCTTTAATGTTTATTGAGCCCCACGATGTGTAACTCAATACATGTGGTAGCTGAATTAATGTTTTGCATTTTCTGATATAGAGGTTGCAGAATGTTCGCTCTCCTTTTCGATCTTGAGGACTACGCCACCACCTACCGCGCCACCCGCGATGCCTACTTGAAGGCTGCCAACGAGCTCAAGCTCGCCACCGGCCCCTACAAGGCTGCCCGTGACGCCTACGTTGCGGCCACCGCCACCTACACCAAGTCCCTCTACGAGTAAATGTAAAGATCGGAAGTGGAATAAAACTTTTAAAATGTCAGCTTTTTGTCTTGTGTTTGATAGCTTGGATGTACATCAATCGTTTGTGTCGTTCTCCTTTGTTCATCGTTTCTATGATTATTCTCTGGTGGATAATGGTAGAAAATCTTGAATATTCAGAATTTCGAATCTAAGATGAAATTCATGCACACAACACATGACGATTTTCGTGTGCAGGAAAATAGAGAAGTGAAAAATTCACTGTCGTAGACCCACTTTACCGATAGTGGATGAATTTGAACAGTAGTAGACCCACTTCGCAGGTTTACATGAAAACAATGCCAACTGTAGTTACAAACAACACACAGACTCATTAAAGATGCTCTAGCCATTTGTGAAAAGCTAATTACTTGAGGAAGGGTCCGTGAATAAATGCGTTGATGCAGGAGATTCGGTTGCTGCAGGACAATCAAAACCTGTCGGAATCGTTTACAGATTTTACCTCAGGTGGTCGAATTCGTCAACGCAGTAATCAATGTTCTTGAGGTTCATGTAGATGTTAGGCCATCTAACGAGGCGACGTGAGATTCTTCAGGAACATTGAGAACACAACAAATTACGTTTGGTAAGAAGATCCAGTAGGTGGAACGTAACCGGGTGGTGGCATCTGTTGACATATCAAAAAAAAACAGCTCAAGACTTGGATGCTTACTGGAACTCCGCCGTTCATCATGTTAGGGCGCCAGTTTTGCGCCTTGTTTCCACTCGATGAGGAGGAAGCTTCTGTGAGAATAGAAAACATCTGCAGAAGAAGTTTAAAACCGAACATAAAACCAACTGGAATGGTGAATATCAGAATATTTGGAAAGGTTGAAATAAAGGATGAATCATTTCAATGGTAGTAGTAGGAACATTCGCCCTTGCTAATGAGCCACAACCGGTCATAAAATTGATTTTTGGTATTTCGTGGCGGAGATTTACAGTGTAGAAACGATACTGTTTCTCTCATTCCTTAGATTTTTGAAAAAGATTTCATCAGATTTAAGCAGTTGAAGGGTTAACATGCTCTGCTTGTTTGTTCTGAGTATTTCTCGACATGACTTCCAGTCCTTTGTCCTACTTATATTGAAATTTAGCTAAGGATGTCTAAATATCCTGTTTCGCAGCTCACATATAGGAACCTGCATAGAAAATATATCCCTAACTCCTTCTGGGGTACTCTTATCTGTACAGTGTGCCTGTTGAAGAATTCCTGTGGGGCTCAGAAAGTCTCAAGAACACTACACTCTTGAGAATGAATGTGACTGCCTGTCCCTACCTGTTCAGTTTCGTTTCCTCTCATCGTGAGCGTCTACCATATGCTACCAGCTTCAACATGCCCGATCAAACGCCTATCTTGCGAAGATGTTCGATCACAATCGCACTACAACTTCTGATACTCATGGCATATTTTCAAGTAGCCCGACCGTGAGAGGGCCACAACAAAGCTAATCATCGTACTGGGATGCTCTTGGTAGCTATGAAATGATCAAATTGCTTGCAGACTCATGCTCCTCGTCCTCAGCTCGACCTCGACTAGTCCGTTGACATCAGAACACAATGATCCGCATGGCGAAAGGGCTTGGCTGAGTAGTCAGTAGGCTATTTCCGGCAGCGGCCCTACAAAGAGTACCCCACCCTACACAACTTAAGTCCTAACTGAACCTAAAAAGTAGTAGGGTATAGTGGTGACTAGCGCACTGGACTACGGAAGCCTGGGCCGAGCCTGTTGCCGCCCCGCCGGCTCAGGGCCGGCCGGCCGGCGGCGCCGCGCGGTCCGACCGTCACTAGTACCGTCGCGGCCAACGTTGGCGGCGGGCTGAGCCGGGCCACCCGCCGGGTGACCGTGCCCGCTGCAGCGGCCTGGCAGTACCGTACGGTCGGCACCCGGTGCACCGTGCCGCAGGTCCGAGGAGCCGGGGCTGCCATGCCATGATCATGAGTCAGTGATGGTCACCCGGGGTGACCGTACTCCGGGCCCCGGGCTCTCACAGTCACGGCGTGTCGCCGCGGCTGCACTGCCCCCGGCAGCGGCAGGCCCCGGCCCCGCGGCGTGACTCAGACCCGGGCCGCAACTTTCAACGGCACATGGCACTGCATCATCGCGGCATTCCGTACCAAGTCCTTCAAGTACACAGGCTACCCCCCGCCGTAGGCTGCCGCACTGCAGGCTGGTGAGGTTCCGACTGAGGCGGGCCCTCGGTCCTCCCGACAACCCCGACACTGCTGAGCAGGCGGTACGGTAGGTCCGTCGGGCCTGTACGGTCCGGCCTTGCTACCCTGACCCCTCCTTTGAAGACAGTAATGACCCCACCCTAGGGTGTTACCGTAGCCTTTCCGAGTTGCTTCCCCTCGGAAGCTTCACTACTACTACTACTGCGCCCTCACAAAAAGAACCAGGACCCCGACCCCCCTCCCTGTTGCCACTCCGACCTACCCCACCCCACAGTCCTAGTGGAGGATACCCCCATCTATTAGCTCAGAAGTGTCATCATCGGTCTACCCCACCACTGGCCAGGGGAAGGGTCTACGATCCCGGCGCAATGCAGCACTATCATGCTGCAGCACAACCTTGCTCAAGGCCATCGCGATGAGATGTCCATGCAAACCTCAAATCTTCTTTCACCTCCTTTCTGTAGCTTTGTTGTCAGTGCTGTCAGAACCATGAAGCGCTTATGAAGTCGTGATCATTGCTCGAGTGCTGTCGAATCATTCTGAGTACTGTAGCACGATTGACTGGCATGATATTCACTGAATTCACCCAAGATTGCAACTGTGTGTTGTCCATTACACTCTCGTATCAGTATTGATAGTGTACAATGGAACCTCAAAGATTCGACTTTTGTAAAATCACTTTTTTAACTACTTGTTCTGCAGGTTTGTTTCGATTCCTTCGCCACCACATCATGCTATCTTCGATGAGCACGTTGAGGTTTCCTAAAACGGGGTCTTCAACAAAACGAGAAAGTTCAAAACCAGCAGAGACACATGCTGCTCAGAATACCCAGAGGTATTACGGTCTCTGCTTAACGAAATTCTTTCGGACTGAATTGTGCTTCCAGTCGAGCCCAGGAAAATAGGAGAGTCTTGGTTCAAAACTCACCGTCGTCAAATCAGATTCAACCCATCGAATGGATTCAGAAAATATCAATGACCACGGGATTGCCTTATTTTTTCAACGTGGTCACTGGGCAGAGTACCTGGCAGCTTCGCGTCGCAGGTAAGCGGAGGGTTTGGGCGTCATGGCGAGAAATGAGTCCTGCTCCAGGGAGTCAGGGCATGTATTATGATTATAACGCTCAGAGAGACTTAGCATACAACAGACCGTTGCAAATTGAATCTGGTATCGCCATGCCGTTCCAACCTTATCCCGTGATCCCTGCGGAGCAAGTGATTCCTCATGCGTGCATTGCGCAATGCTGACCCGACATGTAGGGGTATTACGTACATGCTCAACCCGTGAATGTCAAGAGTACGAATCACATTGGAAACCAGGAAGAACGAGTGCATGTGGAAGCTCCCAAACCGAAGGCGAATTCAGTATTGGCTGCTGACAGCATCCCGCTGGAAGTCAGGTCTCAGCATAATAACAAGACTACTTCCGAACAAAGAAACATTGCCAAGCAATCCGTCAATCCGAAACCAAGTGCAGAAATTCAGGGTTCACATTTCGTAAGTCCTGCTGCTGCTACCTTAGGAAACCACACCAAGGTTGTGCCAAAAAAGAATCCACCTAATGGAGCACCTGTGCCGAGCTACCAAACCCTTCAAATAGCGAAGGATGATTCCAAGAGCGTGCTTGCTATGCTTGAGGACGGCTCAACACAGGTTGGTCAACATTCTTGCCTGTAATCATATCGTACATGACTTCCCATTACAGTTTCCTGGTCGGAAGGGGATTTCCCAGCGCAGTGTTTTGGACCAGGCAGCTCCAAGCGCACAAGGAGAAAAGTTCACGTCGTAAGTGTTCCCTTTGAAAACCGCCATGTAGATTCATTCTGTGCCTTGCAGTCCCCAATCGGCTGAGTCGCGCGGGAATTGCAGAGCCTGTGGCAGGGAGGTGAACACTCCTGTGGCATAGTAGCTACAATCGACCGATGCCGGCAGGTACTTACCAGCCAAGCAAGAGTCTGTGAAGAAGGATCCTACTTTCACTCTGAGTGCCATGAAATATTGGTGGAAGCGATAGAAACTGCTAAGAGAGAGGCACGCGAGAAGACGATCGCACAGCTTCATGCCAACAAGGTTACAAAGCTCACCATCTCTGAATGAACAGAGATTGACTCAGTCAACTCAGGGCACTGACATGTCAAACTTCACTCGAACAATCCAACAGCCGATTCTAAACACTGACAATCGAAGAGACATGTACCTTCACATGTTTGATTGTTCAAGAAATGTTTGTTGAATGGATGCATCAGGCAATCGGAAGCATCTAAACCTCAAAGCCGTGGACCTTGCGGAATATGTGGAGAGCAGGTAAAGCTTCAGGCTTGTTGTTTGCTGCCATTAATATGACGGCTGCTACAGGTTCTGACCATTCATACGCGAGTGTGTGCGGAAGGGCAATACTACCATAAGGACTGCTACGGGACGGTGGAACCTCAGATTGTGGATACGCCCCAAGTGAAGCAGGTGAAGCCAACCTATCGTCTGCGATCCCTCCATGACTTGCGGCAAGGCTTCTTCCTCAAGCATCCCGAGAACATTGCGCGTGTCGAAGTCACTGGCATCACGCATTCCTGAAACGATCAAGGAGTCTCCTTCACCCCGGAAGGGTGGCCCACCCCTCGATGACTTCAATGATAGGTACATCTGACGATGTCATTCCAAGCTCTCTGATTCATGCTCTTCTGTAATCTGCAGCAATGAAATGGCGGCTCCTGTGCCTCAATCCCGTGGTTTCTGCCCTGTGTGCAACCAGGAGGTTTGCTTTGCTCGATTTTCAACTGCCACTTGCCTTGACTTCTCGCTCCAGGTCCTTACAAGCCAAGAAAGGACGATGGACGCAGAGCAGTTGTATTATCACCTCGACTGCTTCAACAACAAAACAGAGACAAGCGCTCAGTAGAGCACGAGTCCGACACCGTTGGACCCTCACGTTTGGAAAGTCAATCGACAAATGGAGCCCTTAAATACTTTTGGTGCAAGCACATCAACCTCGTAGACAGAATACATTTGTATTGTACTCTCAGACATATACTCTCCTATCATGCAGGTTGTCGAAAAACTTGAAAACACCTTCCATGGCCATGATCGCGACCCTATTCTGTTCTGAAGTACCAGAGCTAGTCAAGCAGATCGGATCGTCTTCCGTGAGTGGACGCACGCCTCTTCCGAATATGTCATCATCTTTTGACAAGATGGCTCCCAACGGTTTGTCACTTCTCACCCAGTTGCGGCATCGCCCAGCAAGAAAGGCTTTCAACTGCTCCTGTACATTGAAGGGATACCAAGTACCTGTGTGTGCCCCGTCGATCAGTGCAATGCCCGCACATCGTTCTATCATGGACTCTTGTCGGTGCTGGAGCAAAGTCAGAACACTCTTCCCGCCGAGACCATGGCCGATGAAGAAGATTTGTTTTGCACCCTCCTTCTGAATCACGTGGTCCCACGCACAGAGCACGTGCTCGCTAGAGGCCACGTCGTCCGGCATCGGATCGTTCTCGCATGAGGCTGGGTCCAGAAGGATAGCAGCCCACTTCCTTTCTCTGATGCGCTCCATGTAAGGAGCAACACTGCCTTCCTCCAGGCTGCCATTGATGCATGCCCTACGAGACCATTGGCCTGTACGTGCTGAACCTGATTTATGCACGATGACGACCATGACTTCGGCAGTCTCTAAGTCATCTGTGACTAGAACCTTTGGAATCATAGCGCCAACGCTCCTCTGTCTGTCTGAAAGCAAGAGACAAGCTCTTTCCGGCTTCAGCTCCTTCATCCCCTGCCGCAACAGCAGGTTGAGGACATATTCCCTGACAAAGCTTGCGAGCACCTCGTAGTGCTCTTCTCCCTGGAAAGTGAAGGGAGATCCATCGTCTACAGCAACAAGTCGAGTGGAGAAGAGAACACGAGGAAAGTCAGATGCGCTGTCAGGTGAAGGGTTTGAATTTGCATACGTCCTGTATTCGTACCCCAGGTCTTGCAGAGTCAACCGAACGAACTCCCCTGTCTTGGTGGGGCTCCCTCCTACTGGATGCTGAGAGAGAGCATAGAGATTTGCCATCTTCCTCCTTATCGCTCTCCTGTGAATCCACTCCTCCGCTGCCGCCAGGCATGAAGCTGCTGCTGCTGCCGCCGCCCACTGCATTTCGTACCTCTGATCCGTGAGTGTCAGGATAAAGTATCCGTGAGTATCCGTGAGTATCCGTGAATCATCCAGAGTAATGATGCCCGGCCCGCCGCGGCCGCGACCGTCGGACCGGGAGCCTGTCTCAGTACTCCGACAGGTCAGCGCCGCGGCGACCCGGGGCAGTCGGGCCGGGCCGTCAGAAGCCTCCGACCGTACACTGAGAGTCAAGTAACGGTTGAACTTTAGTAGGATCTCACTGTCCGACGGTCACACTCAGTCACGCACAGTCACGGTAACTAAGGTAACTTAGTAAGTTTACTGGCGCCGCTCTGCCCGGGTGGCAGACTAGGTTGAGACCTCAAATCTGTTCATGCACGCTCTCGAGCATGTTTTCTCTCATTATGAAGCTCAAGGCAAGCATGGAGGACGGCGGCCTTCGCTCCCTCGCCTCCTTGATGCAGCAGAGAGCCATCTTCTTGCAGAACTCGTCTCCCTGCCACTTGGCCAAGTTTCGCTCGCGATCCTCCTGCTCCTGCGCTGGACCCTCCAACGTCAGCACGTTGGACATGACAAGGCCCAGCGCGTAGACATCCGACTCCGCCGTCAGCTGCTCCCCTCGCAGCTTCTCTGGTGCTGTCCACTGCTGCATCGTTGCTAACTGCGTGGCTCCCGTGGACATGGCGAGAGCATCCGCCTCCTGAGACAGGCGGAAGTCAGCGAACTGAGCTGCCCCGCTGGGTGTCACGGAGATCTTGTGAGGATGGATGTCTCGATGGACAACTTGTCTCCAGTGCAAGTACGCCAGCCCCTCAGCCAGACCAGCAACGATGATGAAGCGGTGCTGGTCGAGCTTCTCCGAGCCTGACCGAGGGAGCGTTGACAGGTGGTGGGAGAGCGTGTGGTGGAATTCCGTCACTCGGGCATAGAAAGGATCGCCACCCTTGTCCAGGAGGATACATCCCAGGAGCTTGCATACGTTGGGGTGGTGCGTTCTAACGAGCATCCTGACTTCCTTCAGGTAGACTGTCTTCTTGTCGGGGTTGTCATGCAGCCCCTGGTAGTCGTTGGGCTCCTCCACCGCCACCTCCAGCCCGTTGTAGGTACCTTGAAAGAGCACTCCGTAGCTCCCTTGTCCGATAACGTGCTTGGGCCTCGGGCTTCTCCCTGGTAGCTTCTCGTACTCGAGCCCTTCCGCGCTGAGGGACCAGGCAGGATGACGCTCTGCTCGTTGCTCGGCAGTATCGCTGTGGGGCAGGCAGATCGCGTACTTCATCGCTCGGAGGGAGACCTCTCCGTCCTCTCTTCTGTTGGCTGGTAGCACTCCGAGCAAGGTCTCGTCCAGCTCATTCAGAGCTGCCAAGTCTGTTTCCTGCATTGCGCCAGTGCTCAGCCGTGCTATGAGAGTATTCGAACCATCCCTTCGTCGAAGCGCCATGGCGAGCTTCAAGATGGCAAGATACATCTCTGCGCTCTTTCCACTAGCTTCCTCTTGCCTCTCCACAGAGTCAGAGGAGCTCAAACTCGCCTGCTGCTGGTCGATGAGGAAGCTCGACGACTTCAAGGTCAGGAGCAGCTCAGCAAGAGCTGAGAAGGCGTCGACCTTTATTCCTCCATGCATGGCCCTGCGAGCCTGTTGTAGCAGCGGGGGCAACCAAGTCTCTGCGATTCCGACGAGGCCGAGGAGCTGCCGGTGCTGCGCAAGCTCAGCTCGTTTCTTCAGCATCTCGTCTAGGATGGAGTGAGTGGCTTTGAGGACCCTGTTGGCTGCCGTCTCTTCGTCAATCTCGATCTCTTCCTCGCCCCCCGAGTCTTCTGTCACCTCAACCTTCAGCTGCCACAGACTCAGTCAAACCAGCACACAAGGACATCATCTTTGTCTTCAATCACCTTCTTGGACGTATGCGCCTCTACATCTCCGAGGGGGGCGTCGACTTGTCGTTTTTCTCCCTTCCTCATATCTCCCACCATGTCTTCCCATCTGACAAAGTTTCCCCTTACTCCTGCCGTCCTCACTTGATCGAAACATTTTCCCAGCTCGTTCACCCACCCCTCGCTCAGATCCTCCCAGCTGGGCCTGTGCTCATCGTAGCTGACCATCCAGCCCGAGCTGCTCACCCAAGTGCTGAAGAGGTCGAAGTTGACCAGCTCCTGCCTCGCCTCCTCCCCAGCTCGTTTCAACCTCTGGATTCGGTACATCAAGTATCGCTCCAGGCACACGCTGCCGAACTCCGTCGTCCTCAGGAGAGCCACGTAACTCCGAGCCTTGATCGCCTCTTCCAGCACAGTGCCAGCAAACAGAACATTCCTTCCGCCTTGATACGAGCAACGGTCCGCAAAGTACTTCTCCATCCTCGAGATCGACTCCTCGAAAGGTTCGTCGGACGTGTAACTCAGCCCGACCCCGTTACGCCTCCAGCAGTCAACTTCATCTTCGACCTCCTCCTCCTCCTCCAAGGCCTCCTGGATCAGCGACGTGAACATGAAGTCAAGGGCTGCGACGCACAGCTTGCTGCTGCTCAGCTCCGGCACGTGAGCCTCTCTCCAGTCATCGAATGAGGATGAGGAGATCTTGAAGGACTGGAGATGCAAACTCACTCGCCGGACGAACTCGGGCCCGATGTCCTTGACAAAGGAGCGATACTCCTCGAGGATCGCCTTGGACTTGAACTTGGTCTGGGGGCTCCTAAGAAACGCCAGGAGGACGAGGGAACATATCTTCCACTGCTCAGCCATCTGCTGGATGTTTGACAGCAAGTTTGTCAGCAAGCCCTTCACATGCTGTCGGAACTCCTCCACCTGCCCACTACAATAGCCAGCAACGGTTACCCTGGCAGCTCTGCCATGAGCCTCGTCTCTGCCAGGGCCCACTTGCTTCTTGTCGGCGGCGTTGTCCGAGGTGGCCGACAGGACAGCCAGACTTCGGCAGATCTCACTGATCTGTCTGTCGCGCTCCCTGCTGCTGACGACGCAGAACTCTCCTGGAAGCATCTGCAAGTCTATGGTGACGGCTGTCTGAACTCCCTGAGAGTTTCTCGGGTCAGCACAGTGAAGGAGAGCGTCCCGGAGGTTCCTGTTGGTAGCGAATATCCCGTAGTCCTGCCTCATCAGGTTTTCGAAGAACTCAGATTCGTCCTGTGCTGTCTCGCCATTCCCACAGGTGAAGCAGATGCACATCCTTCTGGGTTTTATCGTCGCCGGCGGGTCCTCGATGTACAAGGGTTTGATCCCCTCGGCATCGCAGCAGTTTCTACAGGCATCGATCACGACGAGGAAAATCTGCCTGTCCGTCTTCTCGTCGCTGTGTCCTTCTACCTCGAACTCCTTGAGGAACTCAAACAATTTCTTCACTTCTAGCGTGTATTCCTGCACATCTCCCTCAGTCGACGGGATGGATGTGTTGCAGGGCGACAGAAAGTCGCTGTTGCCCTTGTGCAGCCTCCCGCCATGTCCGGCGAAGAAGACAAGGATCACGATAGGATGAAGACTCTTCAGCGCTCGCATGTTCTCACGCACAAACGAGACCATCTGCTGCCGTTCCTGAGGATTCTCCAGCACATTCGACCATGCTGTCGGTATCGATCTCAGCCTTTCACGCATCTCCATCGCATCCCTGACGGCATTCTGCAACGGGCCCCAAGGATGTTGGTAGTCGTTGGCTCCGATGCACAACCCCATCACCCTGGGCGATTCCAGGTAGAGAACTTCAAACCGATAGAGGTCATTCTGACTTGAATAGGCTCCTTCCCTTGGGTCCTCGTGCTTTGTGGTCAGCGTCAAGATGCTGCAAGCAAGCAACGTGAGCCAAAGTTTCAACGAGTACATGAGCCAAAGTTTCAACGAGTACATGAGCCAAAGTTCCAACGAGTACATGAGCCAAGTTCCAACGAGTACAGCTCCTCTACACACGATTCAACAAGAAAGCACGACAAAGGTGACGACATGCTCGAAAACTTTGACATGAATCAAACAATTTATCAGCGTTCTTTCAAATTTCTCACTGCAGATAGATGTGCAAAGCAAGCAGGCACGTATCAGGCACGCACCTGTTACGATGGGCGAACGCTTCGGTTGTTTGATGGCTTGCTCTCAGAGCATGCAATAACTTCTGAACTCGGTCCAGTTGCTCACAGTCGTTAGAGCCTGACAGACCATCCTTCCATACTATCTCCGCTCTCTTGCCCTCCTCCATGCCCAGGATATCTCGTCCCCTCTGGTAGCTCGTGATGGTTATCAAGCTCAAGTCCCCGTCACCCTCCAACGCTGCCGCCCCTTTACGTCGGCTCTCCCATCCTCCGCACGTCCTAAGATGCAGCAGGATCTTGTCATGGGGGTAGCCGTCCTTGCGAAAGCAGTAGAGACGTTGGAGGGGCGAGGAGCTGTTGGGATCAGAGCCTTGTATCTCGGCCAGGTCAATCAGCCCCGTCAGATGGATGGACTGTTCTGCGATCAGCATATCAAACTCTTTCCACAGGCAGTTGTCCTCATGGTTGGGAGCTTGCGAGTGATGGAGATGAGTGAGAGCCTGGCTCTCATGAAACCATTTCATCCATCCTCGTGACACCCTCTTGATGTAGCCCTCAAGTCCGATTTCCTGCGAGGAGGTTGAGCTCGACCTCCCTATGAAACCATCCCTATGAAACCATCCCTATGAAACCATCCCTATGAAACCATCCCTATGAAACCATCCCTATGAAACCATCCCTATGAAACCATCCCTATGAAACCATCTCTTACCATGCTGTGCAGGAGTCGTAGGTGGGCTCGGAGATCCTTTGGCTTCCCTCCTGCTCCTCTCCTGCTCCCTTCCTCTCCTACTACCCCCTCCTGCTCCTGCCCCTCTCCTCTCCTACTACCCCCTCCTGCTCCTGCCCCTCTCCTCTCCTACTACCCCCTCCTGCTCCTGATCCTCTCCTCTCCCCTGCTCTGATGCTCCTCTCCTCTGATGCTCCTCTCCTGCTCCTGCTCCTGCTCCTGCTCCTGCTCCTGCTCCTGCTCCTGCTCCTGCTCCTGCTCCTGCTCCTGCTCCTGCTCCTGCTCCTGCTCCTGCTCCTGCTCCTCCTCCTGCTCCTGCTCCTGCTCCTGCTCCTGCTCCTGCTCCTGCTCCTGCTCCTGTTGTGGTGAAGTATTGAGCTCCGTTCTCTGCTCCGTTCTGGCTCCGTTTCTCAGCGACCGAATGGTTGGCCCGCTCTTCAAGGGACCCCCAGGTCCGCCTCAGTACCTTTCTCCGTTATCCTGTCCGTTACAACCCTCTGCTTTAGGTGGGCCCGCGTTCCTGCAAACAAGAATGGTGGATCGGGGCGAGGAGGGATGAGCGAGGACGGCGGCTGATGGCGACTGGTGGTCCTTCATGCCCCTGCTGATCATGCCAGCAGCTTGATATTCTTGTCTGCTCCCTGCCCGCTGCCTTGAGAGTGCGTGAATATGCCCTGGGCATTCTTCAGGAGGAAACCTGTTTGCATTGATGTGCGGGACGAGCAGCGGAAGGAGCAGACGGAGCTGGCGGGTGCTATCCCAGTTCGCTCGTCAGAGCACACGGACGAGGCAGTAGCACAGGAGGAAAAGGAACCTGGTCTGTTCTCCCTGCTTCCCATGGATCTAGCGGACAAGGTCCTTGTGCTGCTAGACGGGCACGCTCTTGCTCGGGTCTGCTGCTGCAACACCCTCTTCGCGCAGCACATCCACTGCCAGCATCCGGCATGGCGAGTGCTGCAGCAAGAGAGGTACGCTGAGAGCGCTAACGACAGGCAGAGGTACCTTGAGGTCGCCAGGGATCGATGCAGTCTGTGCGGGCTGCCAGACGACGTCCAGAAGGAGCTTCAGGCCTCCAAGAAATATTTCTGCAGCACCTGCACCTTCAGACATGCTGATAGGATCCGGGAGATGGAGAAATTCGACAAGCATCTTCACAGGAAGGCCATCGAGCTTGACACGTCGATCCGAAGGCGGAATCTCAACCCCTTGCTGAAATCTGACACGCTCAAGGACCTGTTCGCAGCGAAGCCCCTGGCCCCACCCAAGGTATCTTCCCGCACAGATCTCTAGGCAGAGCATCTGACGTGTGGTGTGCAATCAGCTGCTCTTCTCAACCAAGTTTCATGGACACTCTTTGAGCCGATTCTTCAGTTCGACCTCGGGGATGAGGTGAATGAAAGAGTGGAAGCGAGGAGAACATTGAGACTTGTTCTCAGCAACACTCTCCTGATGATCGAGACGTACGACGGAGAACAACTGGGATCCTTCACCCGAGAGGTTCAGTGCCCCTTGAGGGTTCTCATCCCTGACGCTCCTCAGGCTTGGAAGAACATGGGGGAACGACCGTTCGGATCCGACAAGAGCTTCCTCTTCCGTTGCAGGCCCTCCTTCCAATGCTTCTCGGGGCAGCCAGGTACATGACAGGCGCTGAGGTTGGTGTCACTCATCGTCGCTCCTCCAGGGCATTCAGGGTATCAGTTCGCATGCAAGGATGGGATCGCCTGTGGGGGAAGCAACTGCTCTCGCCTATCCGGCATCTTCGTCGACTGCAGTCTAACCCGGGGTTCCTCCTTGCCCTCCATGCAGTTCAGGTATATCCTCTGTGATACTGTCCTGTATCCTCTGTGATACAGTCGGTGTCTTGGATGATACTGTCTCCGCGGTTTGAACCGATGCAGGAACCCCAACCTTGCTAGCACGCCTATGTTCGAGATCAAACACCTGGAGGTAGCTGGACTCTTGCTGCTTGCCGACTTCTCCTCATATTGGACAGGTCTGGAAAGTCTTCTCGGTGGAGGAGGAGCGGCTCTACGCAGACCTCTCGGTCAGCAGCGATGAAGTCTTTCTCCTCCTCCTCCTCCTTGACTTGCTCCCTCACAGGATGATGATGATCCTTTCGACCTCCTTGGTGCAGGCAAGCATGACTCTTGACACCATACTCGCTCACTCCCCTCCTCTCTCCCCGACGTGTCGTCGTTCTCGATCTCTGTTTATGTGCTCCATTCCTATCCTGCAACCATCCCCTGCTCGAGCCACCCTGAAGCTCCTTGCAGACTTGGCGAGGTTCAGGGGTCGGAAGAAAGACAGTGTGCTCAAGAACGGGGTAGGTTGCCATGCTGAATCTCTTCGACCTCAGAGCAGCGGCAGGTTGATCGCTTCATGCTCTCATTCGTCGGCCATGGCAGCGCTCTCAGCCAGGCGATGCACGTCAGGAACAACACATGAGGTGGGGGAGTGAGAGAGGGAGCAAGAGGGGGAGGCGTGTATTGACATGTGCAATAATCCATCATCATCGTCCTCCGTCGATCCCCAACAGCCTCATCTCTTGCTCTCGTTGCTCTTGCGCGATCTGACGAGACGTCACTTCCTTCTATTCAGCTCACCTTCACTCACCCGCAGATTCTTCGCCTCCTTCGCTGCTTCTCTTTCTTTCCTTTTGATCTCCTCCAGAAGAGCGAACTGCGGATGAGATCGCTCCTGTCCATGCCCGTCACTGCGACCTTGTTCCCGCTGCTCTCCCTCCCTCCCTCCCTCCCTCCCTCCCTCCCTCCCCTCTCTCTCTCGCTCTCCCTGCTCCTTACCTTCTCCGGGTTGCTGCAGCCTTGCAACTTCGCATTGATCCTCGTGGCCTCGGTCTTGAGCTGCTCCCCCTTGAGCTGCCTTCGTCGTCACTTTCCTCCTCTCCTCTCACTGCCTCTTCACCCGCTGCTTGTGCGCTGCCAAGTTGCCCTCGATGGCCTCGTAGACTCTCCCGACACTCTCAGCGCTCGATCCGATGGCGTCTGTTGGGTGACATCACCACGGACGCTAGGAGGGGGAAGAGAGAGAGGGAAGGAGAAGGGGAAGGCAGGGAGGGGGGGCAGATTTTCCGACCTTTCAGGAACATATCGAACGCGGCCTCCATCTTGGCCTGCACTGGAGTGACAACATGGACGAAGAGAAAGGGGAGATGGACCTTAGCGCAGGTGTGCCGTAGGGCACAAAGAGCGATTTCGGAAGGATGGAGGATGAGGAGAATGTCTGCAAACAAGTCCTAAGGGTCAGACATCGAGACAGGACGGGAGCAAAGGTCCGATGGCAGGAGGTCAGGGCCAGCACAGGATGAAGGGGCACCTGATTTCATCCAGTCTCGCAGCAGCTTGGTAGCCTGGTAGCACAAAGGATCAATGATAGAGAGTTTCGGTTTTCTCGCTACCTTCTCCTCGATCTTGGATTTCACATCGTCCGCTAGCTTCATCGAGTCCTTGACGAACGTCCGGTCAGCTCGAGCTCGCAATGTCGCTAGCTCACCGATCGCTTTGTCCACATCTCAAGGAATCCCCTCAACGGCCTGAACGGATGGTGAACCTGTAAAGAGTTGGTCACAGCAAGTGGAGAGAGTCCGGCGCTTTCACCATCAGGTGGTACTTGAGGACCTGGAGGAGAACTGCAAGCAGGGTCACGCGGACGCCAGGGAAACGGAACATGTACCTTGCTCAAGACGGAGGAGGTGCTCTATGGGAATGTTTCCATGGTCCGCAAAGGCCTGTTTGCGATAAAAACCACATCACGAGGGTTCGATGCAAGAGTTCTATTCCACCCACAGGAGCATCGAAGGAGAACTCCCTGGAGTTCTCGTTGAGTACAACTTTCTGAGCGTTGATATATCTGACAGGAGAGCATGTCACGTTTGAAACCCTCCCAGAGCAGCTGGACCTGCTAGGGTAGTGTTCAACCTTACAGGCCACCCACAGGACAGTGAACATAATGTCTTTCGGATGATAATCCTGCACTCCCTGTCACTCCTGCAGCCCTGCTCCTGCCAGCTCGTACCATAGCCGAGCAGTACAAGTAGAATCGTTTGTAGAAGGTGATGGCTGTTGTCTACACAACAACATCACATTCAACGTTGGCTCGAAAACTCCTCCAACCTCCACGTTGGCCGGCAGCTTGAGCTTGTTGCTGAGCGAGAAGACCCCCTCAAGGTAGTAGTCCTACCGTTCCTGTCAATCCCAAAGTCGCAAAGACGACAAACTTCACCTGAATGATCTGCTCCTCTTGCAGGGTGATACAATCTACTTGCACACCGCTCTCTGCACCTGACGTCAACCCCTCCCCTCTCCTCTTCCCTCCGAACCTTCGCACTCTGTCCTCGCTTTCTTCCCCGGGGACGGCCCCAGCACCACATCAGGCTGCTGCTCTTCACTGCCTGCAGAAAGGAAGAGTCTCAAAGAGCGCGTAAGCACTTGGAACCCTCACCGGCTCTCCTCAGCTTGTTAGTCCATTCGTTCACATCCTGATACAGCATGTCACCCTCCGATCACACCATGGGCACTGGTACCGCGCATGCTGTCTCGTTCGCCTCGGCCCGGAGCTCCGCCAGTCGCTCCTGCGTGAATATCCTGGAAGCGGATTCAATGCCATTATACCCTTAAGAGGAGCAGGTCAAGTACCAGTATCGCTGGTGTGTAGTCCCCTCGAAGACAGCTGCTCAAGCAACATTCATCACTCCTCCATGGCTACCATCGCACACTCGTCCACTCACCGATGGTCAAGCCATCCCCCTGCTCCTCTGTCATTGCTGTCCCCGGATCTGCTTCAAGTCAATCAGGGCAGGGAGCTTGTGTGACCGCAAAGAATCGAACGAGGAGGTGGGATGCACTTAGAGAAAACATGTTCGGCATGCAAACAGTAGTCACTTTTTCCTCTTTGTAACTATCAAGATCTCAGCGGTAACATTTCCATTTCTCTCATACACCAACTCAGAACTCCTCTTGTCTGGAAAGAATTGCTTCCCAATCCGACTTTCTTTCATGTTGTCTTCAGGCTGCACGTTCTCGTGCATTGAAGATCCATTCCCTCCCTCACTTCTTCCTTTCTCCTTGTAACCATCCCTGCATCGCCGTCTTGTTCCCCTGCCACCAACATGGGCAGGTAAGCACTGCGGGATGGAGTGGGAGGATGGTACGAGGCGGGGGCGAGAGCAACATGGGAACGGTGGGGTACTTGATAGTCATTGGAAGGGGTAGTAGCGGATTTTGAAAGGCCTTCGCGCGGTTTTCCGGCTTCGATGGTGTATCGGGAGGAGGAGGAGGAGGAGAAGCAGGAGGAGGGGGAGGAGGGGGAGGAGGAGGAGGTGGTGGTGGTGGAGGAGGAGGTCAAGGAAGAGGAGGAGGAGCAGTTGGTGAAGGAGGAGAGAAGGAGCAGGAGGAGGGGGAGGAGGGGGAGGGGGAGGAGGAGGATTTCGAGAAGGAGGAGCAGCAGCAGCAGCAGGAGCAGCAGCAGGAGCAGCAGGAGCAGCAGGAGCAGGAGCAGGAGCAGGAGCAGGAGCAGGAGCAGGAGCAGGAGCAGGAGCAGCAGGAGCAGGAGCAGGAGATAGCAATGGAGACAATGCTGAAGCTAATGGAGATGATAACGACGACGATGCGAATCACGGTGTTCGAAAGGATTGAGATGATAAGGATTTATCATTACCAGATATTGGTGATGGCGATGAAATCATGATGGGGTTGGTGATGATGTGATGGGGATGATATTGGTGCAGAGCATGATGGAGATGATGGTAGAAAGGACTGAAACAATGTTCTTGATGATGCTGCTGCTTCTGATGGTGGCGGTGTTTGGTAGTGGCGATGATGACAACGACGACGTACGGCAGCGACGACAAAGAAGGAGATGGAGATGCTCATGAAGAACATCTTAATTGTGGAAATGATCGAATCAGTATCTGAATTTGTGAAATCTTCATGCAAATGAAAATGATGTCAATGATGATTGTTGTTGATGATGACGGGAATGCTTGTAATATGGAAATGTTGATGATACTGGAGTTACAAACGATGATTCTGAAGAGGTAGAAGATCATGACAACGATGTTGCGAGATAAAAGGCTTTTCACGAACCAGGACTTGTAGGTCAATGAATAAGTGACTAACAATAATTCATGCAGCGACCTTTACTTTTGGGCATTTTTTCAGAGAGCACGAGAGAATAGAAAAAACAAAATATCGTGTGTAACTCTTATGGTCTCCTGTATTGATTTTAAAGTGAGATCTTTGCAAGAAGAGAAATGTTCATGCTCGTCAAGGACAAGGAACAACCTGAATCGGTTGTCCATCAACATGGATATGATGTAAGTTATGATTTCCTTTCCCTGGCACTTTGTTTCTGCACAAGGGCGTCGATCACCCATACCAACTCTTCACGAGCCTCATGCAAGACATCGCATTACATGCCTCTCCTTCAGCTCAAACAGCATCATTATCCTTTTTCGTGTGAAAGATCTGTTCTCTCCTCCAATGCACTGATGATGACAATCGTGATATCAAAAATCATATACGCTCGTTGTTGAGTTCTCTTGTTAAACTTTCTCACGCACACAATCGCTCCTCCTCTTCCGCTGCCCCGTCCTTTACCTCCTTCTCCTGCATCGCCTCGCATCTCTCCTCTTTCATCGTCTTTCGCCTTCCCTCTCATCTCTCTCTCCTCCTGATCTGCCTCCTCCATCCCATCCCTTCCCTTCCCTTCCCTTCCCTCCCCTTCCCTTCCCTTCCCTTCCCTTCCCTCCCCTTCCCTTCCCTTCCCTTCCCTTCCCTTCCCTGCCCTCCCCTTCCCCTGCCCTGCCCTGCCCTGCCCTGCCCTGCCCTGCCCTGCCCTTCTCTTCCCCTCCCTTCCTTTCCCTGCCCTGCCCTGCCCTTCCCTTCCCTTCGCTTCGCTTTCCATTTCTCATCCTCCCCTGGCCGCATGGGAGGGTACCTGCCGTCGAGAACGAGGATCCCCGACTGTATCGATGACGCTCTGAAGACCAGCTTCGTTCAGCATCGACCGAATCGTACGAGTAAGGTTGTCATGCGCCGTGCAGTAGTGGATTTACTGGCAGAAGGTAAAAAGTGCCTCAAGCAAAACAAAGCAGCAACAAGCTAAACCTCCAGGCACACAGCGCACAGCGAGAAGCTGCACAATCACACACAAAACACAAGCCCGAAAAGAACCAGCACTGCGAACCGTACAGAACCACACGTGACTGACAGTGGTCAGTCGA